AGCAGCAGGAGGAGAACCGACAGCAGGAGGAGAACCAACAGCAGGAGAACCAACAGCAGGAGGAGAACCAACAGCAGCAGGAGAACCAACAGCAGCAGGAGAACCAACAGCAGGAGGAGAATCAACAGCAGGAGGAGAACCAACAGTAGGAGGAGAATCAACAGCAGGAGGAGAACCAACAGCAGGAGGAGGACCTACAGCAGCAGGAGAACCAACAGCAGGAGGAGGACCTACAGCAGGAGGAGAACCAACAGCAGGAGGAGGACCTACAGCAGCAGGAGAACCAACAGCAGGAGGAGGACCTACAGCAGGAGGAGAACCAACAGCAGGAGGAGAATCAACAGCAGGAGGAGAACCAACAGCAGGAGGAGAACCAACAGCAGGAGGAGAATCAACAGCAGGAGGAGAACCAACAGCAGCAGGAGAACCAACAGCAGGAGGAGGACCTACAGCAGGAGGAGAACCAACAGCAGCAGGAGAACCAACAGCAGGAGGAGAACCAACAGCAGGAGGAGAACCAACAGCAGGAGGAGGACCTACAGCAGGAGGAGGACCTACAGCAGGAGGAGAACCATCCTGAGGCTAAAAACATTCAAATCAACCAAAGAGAAGAGGGGGATTATCTCTGAGCTCGGTGCCAAACGGGAGCATCCTGGTACTCCCGAGAGACTACGCTAATCCTTCTGAATGTGCGTGTGTGTGTGTGTGAGTGTGTGTGTGAGTGTGTGTGTGTGTGTGTGTGTGGGGGGGGGGGGGGGGGGGCTGAGACGGTTTAACATGCAAGAATCAGCAACGAGCTGCAGATTCACCTCAGTGTCTGTCTGATTTCACGCTGGCAGCAGATGTCAGACACAAAGACAAACGAGTCGTCCTGCGGAGACACGGAGAATCCGACGGCCTACAGAAAAACCCAGATATCCAAAACACCAACAAATATCCTGTTTAAAAGGAGAAACACTCCCAAAATCTTCAACTGAATGACGGAGAAGTTCATAACGACGTCTGGATGCTGTCAGAAAGTCGGAACACAACAAATGTAACGAACAAAGTTTATTTTTGTGTACATTTATGATATTTAAACAAAAATACACGTTTTTATTTCATCCACCTTCATTACGTGAAAATTAAAACCCGAGTTCGTCCAAACAGACGACATCGTTTCTGATTGGCTAAAACATTACGACATCATTCACAGCTGATTAATCTGCAGGTGAAATTTCCTCCTTAAATTGGTATAAAAAGCACCCAGAGACCAAAGTGTCTGGTTCTGCTGGCGGTTCCTCAACAGGAGGAGCAGGAGGTCCAGAGATCGTCTGGTTCTGCTGGCGGTTCCTCAACAGGAGGAGCAGGAGGTCCAGAGATCGTCTGGTTCTGCTGGCGGTTCCTCAACAGGAGGAGCAGGAGGTCCAGAGATCGTCTGGTTCTGCTGGCGGTTCCTCAACAGGAGGAGCAGGAGGTCCAGAGATCGTCTGGTTCTGCTGGCGGTTCCTCAACAGGAGGAGCAGGAGGTCCAGAGATCGTCTGGTTCTGCTGGCGGTTCCTCAACAGGAGGAGCAGGAGGTCCAGAGATCGTCTGGTTCTGCTGGCGGTTCCTCAACAGGAGGAGCAGGAGGTCCAGAGATCGTCTGGTTTTGCTGGCGGTTCCTCAACAGGAGGAGCAGGAGGTCCAGAGATCGTCTGGTTCTGCTGGCGGTTCCTCAACAGGAGGAGCAGGAGGTCCAGAGATCGTCTGGTTCTGCTGGCGGTTCCTCAACAGGAGGAGCAGGAGGTCCAGAGATCGTCTGGTTCTGCTGGCGGTTCCTCAACAGGAGGAGCAGGAGGTCCAGAGATCGTCTGGTTCTGCTGGCGGTTCCTCAACAGGAGGAGCAGGAGGTCCAGAGATCGTCTGGTTCTGCTGGCGGTTCCTCAACAGGAGGAGCAGGAGGTCCAGAGATCGTCTGGTTCTGCTGGCGGTTCCTCAACAGGAGGAGCAGGAGGTCCAGAGATCGTCTGGTTCTGCTGGCGGTTCCTCAACAGGAGGAGCAGGAGGTCCAGAGATCGTCTAAGGGAGGCTTTCATCTAAACTTTTTATTTGTTTCTGCTAACAATAAAAAATACAGCCTCAGAAAATTCATTCTTATCAATAAAAAAAATCATCTGATGACCGAAATCGGCCAGTATTCTAGATGATGGACCAATCAGAAACTCAACGATCCCATCACAGGAACAGAAATAGGAATCAGCAGGTCTGAGCTCTGACATCGGGATTGGCCCTGGAAACCATCATCGGTGCTTTTCTAATGATGATCTCAATCAGGACGTCGGACACCTGAACCCTCACAAACAAGATCAAGGAGGTCCAGACTCCCTCCAGCTCCTCCTGGAGGATCCCAATCTCTTCCCAGGTTTTAAGGATCCCCCCAGAGGGATCTGGGTCTGGCTCCAGAAGAACCTCCAGAGAGGAGAGACCAGGAGGAATCTGAAGCACCTCAGCTGCCTCCTGCAGTGAGGAGCAGCAGCTACTCTCTGAGCTCCTCCAGGCTGATGGAGCTCCTTCTCCCCATCTCCAAGATCAGCTTGGATCCAGGATGTGGTTTATCGGGTCCTGATCCAGATCTCAGGACCCGATGAAGGTTTTGGTGATTCGAATGAATCAAACCAGCACCTGAATCCAAGGAAACCTTCATCTAAACATCTTCATTAACAAAAGACACTTTCCTCCACCGTGGCGTCATCTGGAGACGACGGGTTTCCGCTGAACAAATCCCAACACAAACGTCTCGTTGTTCCGACACTCAAACAGACGTCTGGGAAAGAAAACCTTCATTAACAAAGTGAAACAACGAAGCGTCGCCTGGAACGCTCCCATTCTCACCCTCCACCTCCCACCCCCACCCCACCACTTCCTTTTTCCAGAGCCTTTCAGGACCTCCTCCTCCTCACCCCCAGAACAATGTCAGCCCTCCTTCAGCGCCGCTGGCCCGCTGCCCGCAGTCCCAGCCATGAAACTCGGAGGAAAACACACATTCCGGGCTCAGACGGTCCACCTCATCGCTCCTATTTCTGCAGCACTGACATCAGCTGCCCAGGAACTCTGCGGGGGGTGGGGGGGAGGGTTGTATCCCAACACTTCATACCATTCCAATAAAATCAGCCGGAGCGTCACTGTTCTATAAATACTTCCTGTTAGGTTAGTTAGACCTGGGCTTTTTTGTTTGGGAGCGTCTGATCTGGAGGAAGCTGCTCCCGACGCATCATTTAAACTTTAGAAGCTTTGCAAGTCAAACTAAATTTAATTATAACCTTTTTCATGTAACTGTAAAACTGGAGATTTGAACTGTTGAACGTTTACAGCAGCTCCTTTTTCTGTTTACATTTTTGAACGTGCCAAATTCCATTTATGACGCGTTGTTTTCAGTTTGGGACCGGCAGAAGTTCTAGTGCTGATCAGGAAGAGAAATCTGCTCAAACCTCTCAGAAAAACCAGAGGTGCACCGATTCTGGTCTGAGGGCCGATACCAGCTCTTGTGGAGCTAGCGTGCCGATTCCAGTTGGTCTCAAATAACTTAGATAAATGTGATAAATCAATTTAAAAAGTCTGCTTATCTAGGAAATTCTGATTTTAGACGTGAAAACGTCCACATGGCAGACCTGCTACTGTTAGCAAGAATTAGCAGTAATCACGCCGACGCAGCCGATTCCGAACGCCAGGCGATTTTTCCTCTGGGATTATGTAAGCAAGGTGGGCGGAGTCTCAAACGGTTGAATAACAACATCACAATATTTAGGATTTAAAAACTTTAACAATAAAATGTCTGACTTTTGGTTTCAAGATTTAATTATTGCATGTTAATGAACGTAAAGGGATGCCGTAAGTACACCGGATTTAGAGAAATGACCTCATAAAACAAAACAGCAACAATCTCTTGTGTGTCCACCAGAGTGGACTCATTACCGGGGAGGGGATCATGTGACCCGTGGAGGATCCCCGTCACACCTGAACACCTGTCGGAAACATCTCACCTTCGTGTTTCTGTACACGACCGATGGACGCTAGGAACAGAGCAGCTGAAGCCTGATGATGCTGATGTGACGCCTGAGTGGCTGTTTTTATGTCCTCTGGCTGTGTTTTCATGACGCGCGCGCGCGTGCCTGCCTGCCTGCGTGTGTGTGTGTGTGTGTTTATTATAAGCGCAGTGGAAACAACCTCCTGATATCTACAAACACAACATGTCAGCGTGCACGGCTCTGCTGTGGGTCGTGTTTATCACAATCCTCTGATCCTGTTTATGATGATCACTGTTGCCATGGAGACCTGCTGTAACTCACTGACCCCTGCGTCCTGCTCCTCCCGTGCACTCAACAGGAGGGTGAGTCCGCTCGGAGCATGACGTGGGGTGACACCGGAACCAGGAGACCCAAACAGAGCAGAACCTCACACAGAAACGGGTTCCAGCTCATGGCTGTGATTGACGACTGAACCCCAGAAGCAGAACCACAGACGTGTTTCAGCATTTTAATCATCTGGACTAGATGCCAGTGTTTGGGTTTAGTTACACACGAGGTCCAGCGCAGTGGAGGAGGTGCTGGTTTCTCTGCTCCGACTGTTTTTGTGCCTGTGGTGTAATTCACTACGGCCCTGGATGGCGTCACTGGTTTCCAGTCTGCAACTCTCATCATCCAACCACTAAATTACAGACCTGAGCGGTGTTGTCGGCCACGCCAAACACCCAAACCTGAGCTTTCCACCCTGCTTCAGAGCTTTTACCCTCACTTGGTTCTGCTGGGGGGCCCAGCCTGGCCCCTGGTGCCCTCCGTGCGCTCCAGGGCTGCAGGGCTCCTGCTCAGAAGGACCTGGCAGCGTTTCCTCTGCCAAGTCTCTCCCCTTAAAAACTTCCACCTAACTGGATGTTTCCGCTGGGAGGTTGAGAAGTGACCTGAACGCTTACAGCTTCTGGGCTGAGTCAGAACCACGCCACGTCCAGCGTTTAACGGGAAAAGCAGAAAGAAGCGGAACTCACTTTGTACTTCATCCTGCTGCTTCTGGCGGGGAATAAAATCCAGCAAAAACCAACTCTAATCCGCTGAAAGGCGAGAAGAGCCCGCGCATGTGAAGAAGCGCAGAGCGGAGGAGTTGATCTCTCAGCGGGTTACAGATCCATCCGACCCGGAGCCGAAGGCACGGAGAGCCGCGGAGAGGACCGAGCTGGAGCCGCTGCACCGCTTTCTGCTCCGCTGCGCGCGACCGCTGCTCCGCTCAGACACGCAGCCGCCCGCTGATTGGTCACGACCAACGGCCTAGCCACGCCCACCCAACGCTGCCTTTCTGAAGTCACGTCACTGTCACCGGATGCCCTTCAAAATAGAACAAATTAAAAGATTGTAACATATTCACCTGGAAAAGAAAGTATTTAAAATGAGCTGCTTCAGCATCATCACGTGAATAAAGTTCCTGTCATAAAATAAACTAAAATAGAAGTTCTAACTCATTTTCACCCTAATTATTTTACTTAAATATTTATTTTCATGTGTAAATAAATACAATTTAAAAATGTGCTTAAATCTTCTTCATTTAATCTTCATGAAAAAAATTATGTTTTACACGCACGCACGCGCACACACACACTAGCATTCGTTGTGAGGACCGTCCTTGACTTCTATTCATTTTAGTGACTGGATTGTGCCTAACCCTTACCCTAGACCTACCTCTAACCATAACCAGTCCACTCCTAACCCTAACAAGTCACACCAAACCGCTAAAAATAACCAGTAGAACTCTGGGACATTGTCCTAAAGTAAGGACCAGCAAAATGTCCTCACTTTGCTACCAATGTCCTCAGTTTGTAGGTAAAACAAAAAGATTGATTTGGTCCTCACTTTGATGTATAGACCGACACACACACACGCACACACGCACACACGCACACACACACACACACACACACACACACACACACACACACACACACACACACACACACACACACACACACCACTTAAATGAAGTAAAGGTGCTGAGATGGGAGCTGTTTCCTGGCCTGAATTATTGTCCCAGCCTGTCCCTGACTCTCACCCACCAAACTTTATAAGTACTCAGCTAGTGGTTAGCGTTTTGGTTGTGCTCACCGCTCTGACCCGTCCATCCTGTGGTTTAAAAGTTGGAATGGTGCCCATTTGAACAAGTAATCCATCTGAAAATGTACTCCAGTCATGGTGGTGGTTTAACAAGCAGTCAGTGAAATCATCGTCACGGCTCAGTTTAGAGAGTCCAGAAGAGAAAAATCCAACCATTTCTGCAGATTAAGCTCTTCTTCAGGATCTGTTCCTCTTGCAGACAAAAATCCATTTTTGGTTTCTGGGTTTTATTTAAAGTGCAGACACTTCCACACAACGGAGGAGATTAAAGTCCCGGCTAGCTACATGGAGAGCCTGGGTGTTAGTGATTACAGTCCAGGGGAGGAGGGATCCAGATCCAAGACTTCCTGGATGGGGAGGAGCTTGTGATGAAAGTATGGCCGTGTTTGAGATGAGCCAGCTCTGCACAGATTAGATCACCGTTGATCGGCTCGCGGTGCATGCCCGTTAGATTTGTGTCTGACGTCACGCCTACGTAGGCAACGATAACCTCGTGAGATGAAGGCGGCCTCAGATGTTGGAGCAGTTCGCTGCAGCTGCTCTCCACTGGCTGCAACACCTAGGGCATGATGGGAAACGCCTGGCTCTCACCTGATCTAAGATCTGATTGGTTCTCATTTTGATCCAAACATCCGGTGGGAGAATGCGACATGTTAGTTGGTCGTATGCATCCTGTAAATCATGTCACGTCGATGATGACAACTATATCGGCCATACAGAGAAATGTGATTTGTTTTCTTTTGTCACGTTTCCTACGAGCACACTGAACCTCTGTTATTACAGTCATGTCTTCATATGCACGTGTGTACAATAATACCCACAAACACTCAGTCGCTATCAGGCACCAGAACTTTACACTCTTATGAATGCTAACGCGATATCGTCACCCCCGAGCTACATGTGTCTGTTCGACTTAAACGCCGGCTTTCAGCCACACCCCCTGCTGCGCCCGTCTGCTCTCGCCTCTTTCCCAAGCGAGGAGCTGCTCACCTGGAACAAGGCCGATGACTGATCCAGGCTTCTGTAGTAGCTTAGCAGGGTTTAGCAGAGCTGAAGCAACTGAGACAGGAAAGTGCATGTGTGGAGCCAAAAAAACGTCTTGGAGGCGTTTTTCATGATCATGCATGATAAAGGAGCTGCACCGTTTGTGTTGGACCGATCACCTGTTTAACATCATGGAGTGGCTTCATTAGAGCCCAGAAGCCTGAAACTGAAAGATCATAAACAGTTGTATGTTTTAAATGGTTAGACACGTTGAAACGTTCGGTTTGACGTTAGTAAATAACAAACTTCCTCAGAATAACAACCTGATCTGAATATTCTGACCTTCTGGGTAATCTCCCTGGTTACAGACCAGAAATGTTCAACAGGAAACAAGAGCGAGTCGAAGTGTTGAGGAAGTGTGATGATGCGGCTTTTCTTCTGCACGGAAACGTGTTGCTGCTGCAGCGGCGGCCGGGTAAAGGGTGGGTGTGTCAGCTTTTATTTACTCTGCTGTTTGTTGTTGCAGACGTGTAACCGATGCTTCTCGGTTACTGTCTGACCTCGTCATTAATCAAACCTTCGTGTTTGCACGGTAACAGATCAGCATCAGGCAACGCGTTGCCTCTAAATCCCTAAAATGCTCTTTATTCATCTTTAAAGAACAGTGGACCTGGCGTCATTCCACCAGAACCTGCTGCTTCTCCACACCTTGTTTGAGTTTGAGGGAAGATTTCTCCAGGTCTTCCTCCTTCACGAGCTCCATGCAGGCTCTAGACCTGGTGGGTCTGTTTCTGAGGGTCTGCCCGCTCCGAGGCACAGCTCTGTAATTATTCTCTGTTCCCAACACTCTAATTTGACTCGGCTCATTTGTCACAGTCACAGAGATCTGATCGGCCCTCTTTGTCCCCCGTGAGCAGTCCCTTCCTCTGATGGAGGCTGCTGAAGGGCGCTCCAAACTCGTGTTTGTGTAACCTACGCTGTGCCCAGCTGGAGCCCATTCTCTGGACCACAAGTGGGCACCGGGGGGCTTCTCTTCTGTCTGGGTGCCGTGTGATTATGTGCATGTGAGCACCTGCTTCCTTCGACAAACACAACTCATGTTCCCATCTGTTTGGATCTGCTCCTGGAAGAAAGCGGTCTGAAACGAGCCAGGAGGATTGTTTATCCGTTCCGCGGCGCTTGGCCGCCCGTCCGAGTTCGGTCTCGGCTTCTTTCTGCTCACATCTCTGCGAGAAATGAGAGCTGAAGCCCGGACAGCTTGAGTCACAGCCTAAAATCCCGCTTCTGGATCTCACCGGAGGAGTCAAACAGCCGGTGGCCAGGAGAGGATTTCTGCTGGCATCTGGGGCGCCATCGGTCACCATGACAACAGCTGTATTTACAGCCTCACACCTACTGCGTTGCTACGGGCGTCCGGTGCCTGTGGGCCCTTCGTGGTTCATTTCAGCACAGAAATAAACCACAACGGGGTGAGTGAAAAACGATCTGGTGGCCTTTCATCTCCGCCAGGTGCGTGAGACGTTTGGGTTCACCAGTGGGCGGAGCATCCGCTCGTCCTCCATAAGTAGAGACTTCAGAGCCGAGCTCCGTGTGAAACTCCGGCCCTTGAACTCAGACCAGGCAGATTTATGGATCCTCAGATCCTGCTTGTTCTTCCTGCACCCCCCAGCACAGAGGAATTCTCAGAATTCAGCGAGACGGTGGGTGTTTTCCATCGGATTGTCTCCCTAACCATTCAGAGTCATTCCCACCAAGCCTGTTGCTGGGGCCTCATGTGTCTGGGTGTGATGGTACCCTCACGGTGACTCGCGGGAACCAGGACAGGATTTATGTACTAGCTGTGCTGTCCTGTCTGTGAGGATGGACACATAATCAGATTAATGTCCTCGTCTCTTTAGACAACCCGTCCCATAGATCTGGACCAACACTCCTCCAGACTTCCAGGGGAAGCTCCAAACCAATCTGTGGATAGTTCAGACCTAAACTCCGGAGCTGCTTTCATTCTGTGATTAAAACTGACGTAACTGCTGCTGCTCTGAAACTTCAGACGTCCTGTTGTGGGTTTTATTCTGCGTTACGTGAACCTGACACTAACGTGACCAGAGATGTTGTTTTAAATCGTTGTGGTGTGTTTCTGTAGCTACTGAGAAAGAGTGGCGTTTGTTGATGCTAATGAGTTAGCTTCATGCTAGCTGTGATTCTAACCGAGTAAAGACACAATCATATATCATATATTAGATAATAATGAGTGGTTTTTACTGTTTTTGGGATTTTTGAAACGTTTCCGTTGTGATTTTTTGTAGGACACATCGCGTCTTTGTACCACTGTCAGGCTAAAGTTAGCTTCTGGAGGACTCTGCAGCGCTGAAGAACCAAGAACAGAGCAGGTGTTGAAGGTGTTCACGTGTCAGGAACTGTGAGTAAAACAGAAACGTCCCATAAAAGCCACAAGCGCTGCAGGAAGTGTGATTGGTTGATTTCCCCCTAAACCAGATTAACAGGTCACGATAAAAGGTCGGATTCAGCAGAAACATCAAGTGAAAAGCTGTCAGTAGCTGTTTATTATTATTATTATTATTATTATTATTATTATTATTATAACAAAAGCCTCAGTAACATCAGAGTTCTGCAGCCTTTACAAGGATCAGACGCATTATAGCTCTTTATAAACAAGTTCTAACAGATCTTTGGTTGGTAGAAAACATGTTCGTGAAGGTCTTTGCACTTTCCGGTTTGAATCTAGATGTCACTCAGGCTTAAGTCAAGCTTAGTCAAGCTACAAGGAGCCGCTTGAGGAGGTCTGAAGAGCCTCATGTGGCTCCAGGGCTGCAGGTTTCAGACCTGAAGCCCCAGGATGGTTAGCAGGCCCCTCAGATGTTCGGGTTACGCTCAAGTGAAGGGTTGGTCTCGGTCTGCTGGATCGTCTTAAAGAGACTGTGTGTAGTTTTGACCATTAATTTCTGGAAATATCCATCAAAAAGTTGTTGAAAGTGAATGAAATGATGCCCAATTGTTGAAAAATATTGGCAGCTTTGTAACATATAACCGTAAAAATCATGTCTAAAATACATGGGAGCGGGTCTACGTCCCTGGGCGACGCCATGTTTCCTTCTACGGGAGCCCATGAGGACAAAATGCATTCACT